TTAAATTTATATGGCCTTAAAATTTTCGATATTGCCTAAAGATTTAATGTCATAATGATAATAAATTTCACTAGAAAAAGTTTTTTAGTGCGCAGAAATCTGTCATAACATTTTAAATTATAGTGATTATTATCTTTATTGTCTTATGTTAAGCCCGCGCTAACAATTTTTTTTGGTCCTAACACTAAACCGGCTTTACAATATTATTCTTACCTAAATTTGGCCAACATTTTCCGTATCCCTACTCAGTGAACTTTGTAATCCATTTTTAAAACTATTATCGTCTTAATCTCTACCCATGGTACTAAATAGAAAACCATTTTCAAAGTTGAAAACGAGATATCCAGTATCATTGTTCAAACTTTAGAAAAGACATAGCGATAGAGTTTTGATTAATTGTTTACGTGAATATGAAACAATAGGATAAAATAGAATTAAATATTGCCAATGTTTGAATGGATAAGATCGAACATTTTGCATAAATTCGAAGAAAACATCAATTTGATTCAGAGATCTTGTTATTAAGTTAAATTTAATAATAAAATGAATAGCAATTACTTTATCTTTTGAAAAAGTTCTTTTGTGTTTTATTAAAATTTGAAAATATTTAATTTATTTTGTCGTGAAAATACGAGATGCAATTAACGGCTAATTTTTTTTCTATTAATGTCTATATAATGAAAACTATTAGACTTTTGTATTAGAACAGCATTGCGTATAAAATATAATCCGAATTTGTGCATCAGAACACCCTAATTGCAAATAAATGATAGTTATTTAAAGCCTATGTTTTGTAACAAATTCCAGCAAACATTATACTTACATACTGTATCAAACTTCATAAATTGTTATGCCTAATTTATTAAGAAGATCAAAAGCATTGGGACATTTTTCCATGGCAGCCAATCTCAAATATCGTTGTGCTTTCTTTTTATCTTTATTGATGCCATACTTACCATACCAAAGAGTTTCACCCAGAGCATAGAATGCATCGAAATTATGATTTGCCGCCAATGTCAAATAGTGAAGGTAATCATCGGTATTTTTAAGAGCACCATTTTCAATTAAAGATTCACAAAGCTTCCAGAACACTTTTCATCAACAACCTCCTTGAAAAGTTTAATCGCCTGATTTCGATCTGTGGTCCCTAAGAAACCCTCCCACAAATAATATCCTTTCCAATATTTTGCACGTGCATTGTTAATAGAAGCATTACAATTCGGCGGATTTTTGGAATTGGACCTTTATCCAAAACCCCAATTATTTTTAAAAATTGAATCCTTATTTGCAAATTCAGACTCATAGTTAAATAAAATCCGATACATAATCAGAATTTGTATTTAAAACCCAAAAACTATTAAAAGAGTAGATATAGATGGGAATTTGAATAAAGGTCAAATTCCTCAAATTATTATATTCTCCTTGTTCATGAGTCTTTGTACCCTCATATAAACGAAGAAATGGTCTA